TCAAAGAAGATTTTCTTAGGGACTTGAGTCCTTCACTGAGGGAAAGTACTCTTAAGATGTGCAAGACTTCCAAAGATCATAATCACCAAGGAATTAGAAAACGGTGACCCTATTACTATTGAGATTCCAAAAAGGAAATGGAGGGTTAGAGGACTTGTATTGGAAATCCTTTGTGAAGCATAGTGTGAGGAGACTGGCCGAGGCATCTTTGTACAGTGATAAAGAAGCAAAGGCTTGTTAACCTTTTTTTCCAGCTTCCTTTACATTTAAACCAGAACAGTCTTCCTTTTTTTCTTCATTAGTACAGTGTAATACAGTTGCTGTTTCTGTTAACCTTCAGGCAGACAGAAAATCAGTGAAGTTGATAACTGTGATACACTTTTATCTGGAACTAATAGCCCTTGCCTCAGATTTAGAGAAAATATTATAAGACTTGATTTGTGATAAAGGTAGCAGGAATGAGAGGTAATGTGGCTCAGAAAAGCCATTTTCTGTTGTCTGATGGCAACCTCTACTTCTCTCAGCCATGGATGTCTCACAACGCAGAGAAAATAGCTAAAGAAAGCGGACACACCTAAAGACCTGCAAGAGCCTAATGCTCCATAAATGGCAGTTTTAGAAAGCATTACATTAACTATTGTTGAAAGCCCCGCCCCATGAAGAAAAGCTCCGCCTGATGTAACCGGCTGTTACTGCTGTAGGGTATGGAGTAGCAGAATTGTTTTAAAGATGTCATCAAACCTGCTTTGTTAAGCTCCAGGCCATTGGGACTGGTGGATATATGCCCCCTCTGGGACGGCTGTCAGTAACTGTGTTGAAAAGATGTGGAAATGTCCTTTGCCCAAATGAATGGTGAAATCTCTTTCTGGGGGAATGAGTTTAGTAGGTGCTAATATTCATTTTTAGACCCCAGCATTTGTGGGGAAAGAGGCAGAACTTGACAGGGCTAAGGGGTGGGACGACTCGTGTTGCATTGTCACAATTTTTGCTTTTGCATAAGCTGTAGTGTTGTTTAATTCATACTGAGAATATCTGCGGGAGGGACCTGCCGCACGGGATTGCTGAAGATGCAGCTGCCAATAACATGGTGCAACTGATTTCATCCAAAACCTGGTTTAAAGGACACGCCGCGATAGTCAGTATTCGGGTGAACGGTCAGAGGCAGGACCCTCATGTCCTTATTTTGAGTTTAAAAATGGAGATTTTCTGAGTGGTGCTTAAACTGATCAAAGACATTTAGCTTTGAAAAATTCAGCTGACAGTTCTGCTTGAGACCCAAGCTGGTCAGAGATAGGATACTCACAGACATATACCCCTCAGGAGGCAGACAACGGCATGAAAGGCAAAAAGGGAGACAGGTTGGAAGACTGCAGCAGAGAGGCCACAGGTGATAACTGGGCTTAGGTTCACAAACTGCTGGGCAAACTCCAATAGGTATGAATGCTCTTAGTGCAGCACACTGATTAGCACAGCTAGTAAATGACAATTTAGCTCTTTTATAATTTGCCTTTAATACAAACCGCAGCTAGAACATGTTTTTCCCATGTCCCTTCAAGCTTGTATTATCACAGCCATGCTGCATGTGCTCCGTTGCAGCACTCAGTACAATAAAAGGCGGAGGAGCCTTGTTCTGTCTGCCCGTCAGAGATGTTTTCCCTTCCACCTTTTCCCCTTGCTGTTTGAACTTATGCTTTGATAGCAGGGCTTTTTGCAGGAATGGTTTGTTTTTTTTTCTACCAGTACTATTAATTTTGTCTGCCTGTCGCACGAGGGACAAGTGTCTTCTACAAATGAAAGACAGAGGGGCCTGTGGTCAGGCCTCACAAGAAAGTATGTGCTATTTGTGCAAAGTCCTTCCCTCTGTAAAGGCGAGGCTGCGAAGTCCAGATTTGCTTAAGCTTCCACCCTGGCCACCTAGTACCGCTGGAGTCAGCAGCTGTGTGGCTTTGCATTTAGGAACAACCTCTCTTTCTGTCTTTGGAAAAGGTGCAGTCCACACCTGGGAAGGGGACCCCCCGAGCCTCTCTTTAGCGTGTGTGAGGGCAATTAGAGATAAGGAAAAGGTCCAGTGTTTACCGAGTTTCTCAATTACAAAGTTCATTTTCTTGAAATTACCTACGGGGTATGTCGGACATACTTGCCTGCTCGTACAAGCAAGTGCCCTTTAGTCCACCGAGCTCGGCAGACCTCTCCAGGAGCCAGTGAGCCAGCGGTGAGCCACGGAGAGGTCAGCTGTCCTCTGGAAAGAAAAAAAAACAAAAAAACATGAAACCGGTTTTCCCCGGCGGCAGCTTTGCGGCAGGTTGCCCCCCCGCCCCGTCCCATCTCAAAGCGCGTGGGAAACACCGCAGGGCTGGTGGACAGGAAACTCATTGCCCCGGGTCTCAGCCCCGCGGCA